AGAGAGAGAGAGAGAGAGAGAGAGAGAGAGAGAGAGAGAGAGGAGCAGGAGGAGGAGGACGGCAGGGAAGAAGTGATAGATGTCGAGGGCATCAAGAAATCTGACCCGGTGGAGAGAGAGGAGGAGGACAAAGAGGAAGACAAAAAGGGTGAGGAGGAGGAAGACGGCGACGACAAGGAGGAGGAGGAGGACGAGGGAGGACATGAAACAGACGAAGAGAAAGAAGAGAAACGTCGATGGTTGTCTTTCGCTTCTTCTTCTCCTTCCTCCTCCTGTTCTTCTTCTTCTTCTTCTTCAACTTCCTCTTCTTCTCCTTCCTCTTCTTCTTCTTCTCCCTCGTCATCCACAGCGCCCGCCATAGGCAAGATGCTCTGTGCTCATCCTAACCTCGCTGCCCTGTCCTCATCCTAACCGTACCTGCACAGTGCAAGGTGGCGCCTTTGCCTGAAGGCCTCTGAAAGTCGAAGGCCGCTGGAGATATGGCGCCAACAGGCAGCAAAAAGGTTCCTTTTATTTTGAAAAAAAAAAATAAAGATTGTTCGAGGGGGTGGGGGGGTAAATGAAATGCTCGGATTTGACGGGTTCGTCCGATCGGCGCCCTGCGACATGGTAGGGCCGCCGTCGCCCTGCCATGCCCCCACCGCCCCCAACCCGGTTATATTTCTTTTTTCCTTTGTTTTTTCTTCTTCTTCTTCTTCTTCTTCCTCTTCTTCTTTTTCTTATTCTTCTTCTCCTTTCTGTCTCTCTTTGTTTCTTGCTTTGTTCCTTTCATTCATTCTTTCTTTGTTATGGAACTTTTTGTCGTTTTTTTTTTTCAACAAAAATATAACTCGTGGCCCGAGGTTAGATTGGTTTTTTTTTTTTTTTTCCTTTTTTTTTCGATGGATCTGAAGCCAAACACGGAAGGCGCTTCAGATCCGTGCAACCATACACAGACGAAGGGGGCAGGAGAGACGAGGGAGGTGACACGGAGGTGACACGGAGGTGACATGGATTTGGGGCTAGTCACCAATGTCATCACACAGAATCCCTGATGTAACCGGTGTCGGGTCAGAACACCGCCGGTACTCATCCCTAAATCCTGACGTTATCCGATATCGTAAGTCGTTAAATCCTACACTGTCACCAATAGATCAACCAATGATCTCTCTCCTCTGAAGTCGAAGTAGAAGTCCTCTCAAGTCGAAGTCCTCTCAAGTCGAAGTCAGAAGAAGAAGAAGAAGAAGAAGAAGAAGAAGAAGAACACGAGGAGAAAGAAGAAGAGAGCGGAGGAACTCACCTCGCAATCACCAAGTGC